TAGTATTTAAGTTGTTTTTTGAAAACAGAATATTTAGAATAGAAGAAGAAAAGAGATTCAAAAGAGATAGTTCTGTCATGTAAAGTGTAAGAAATGTTATAAGTTAGATTAATTAAGAATGTCTAACTAATATGTTTAATAAGCTATATAATTTTAAAGTTTGTAGTTAGGCAGTTAGGACCATCAATAATTGGATTGAAATAGGAAAAAATGTTAATTGAAGACCAAAGATTGTTTTGTAATTGTTAAATTCAAATATAAGTAGATATGCCTAATAGGTTAAAATTATTAAGTTATTTAAGAAAATTAGAAATATGATATTGTAGTTGAATGTTCTAAATATGTTTGATGTTATAAATTTGTGAATGTAAAAGAGTACTAAAAGGTATTGTATAATAAAGTTTGGCTTTAAGTTTGACAAGACCAATATGCTGAGTAAAAATTTTGTTGTAAGTTAATTGATTGATTACAATATTTTGAAGTCAGTATTCAAAAGTAGAAATAATCATTGTGTTAATAATATAGCAAGCATGTAAGTCAGTAATATGTTTGGTTTTAATAATTTGAATTAGTTAAGAAGATCCAAAGATAAGTAATTTTGTTTGTTTAGATTGTTTGTTGTCCAAAATAAACTAGCAACTTAAAAATTTGAAAGGTATTTTAGAAGAGTAAAGAGAAAAAAGATAGTTATTATAAGAAATAGATGTATAATGAGATAGAGGATTGTTGATAACCAAAATGGATTTTGAAGAGTTGACTTGAATATTAGCCATAGCATAAAAGAATTTAGTTATAAATAATATATATAATAGTTTAGATTGTGATGAAGCAATCCAAAGAATATCATCCATATAAGCCAAAACAGAGCATTGTTTTTGTAATAAGTTGGATGTTTAAAGTTTGAGGTTAGTAATCCAAGAAAATTATAATTTGTAACCAGAAGTGTTTAACTATATATAAGAGATAAGTAGATTATAGTAAATATGTTATAACAAAGAAGTAATAGTTTTATCTTAGTTAATACTATTGTAAACTGGATAGAATAAAGTTAAACAAAATTAGTTATAACTTGATTATGATGATCAATAAGAAGATCAGAGAGAATGTTGATAGTAGATAAAAAAGTAAAAGATAAAAGAATGCATATTTAAAAAGAATAAAGTTAACAGAGTCATAGACTTTACTTATATCTTGTAAGAGTAATCAAATGTCCTTATAATTGCAAGAAGCATCTTTAATAAGCTTATTAAGAATATAAATAGGAATTAAGATATTGTTATTAAGAAGAGCAATATAATTAAAAGCTAAGAGGATAGAATGTGTTGAAAATATAAAGCTAAGTTAATTGGTAAGAATTTTGATATAGAGTTTGTGAATATATTTGACAAAACTAATAGATCAAATAAGATTAAGATTATCATTAAAGATATTTTGTTTAGGGATATATAAATGCAACTATGTTTTTATTGTTTAAGAATTCTGTTTTCAAGAAGGCAGTAGTTAAAAAAAGCAATTATAGCAGAAGTGCATTAAGGGCTAATATGTTTAAGCATTTTATAACTAATATCTGTAGGCTTATAGGCTTTGTTATTAGATAGTTAAGAAAGAGTTTTTAGAAGTTCATTATTAGTAATAGAGGAATTAAAAGAGTAGATAGTGTTGTTATCAAAAATTATTAAAGAAAGTTTAATTGATAGGTTTATATGCAGTTCAGTTTTGAAAGTAAGATCAAACATATTGTTTAATAATTAGTAGGTCAATAATAAGCTCTTAAGAAAGTTTTATATTAGTAAAGTGAATAGATTGGTAGTAATAATTGAAAATGCTGTTTATAGTCTAAGTAGGATATGTTGTAAGGTTAACACTTCTTTTGTTAGTAGCTTGGTTAATTTGTTGTTAAAGTAAGAGAGAGTTTTTAAAATAATGAGCATAAAAGAGCTATTTTCAGGTTAAGTGAGCATGTTGAAGCCAAGTTTGAATAAAGGTTAAGTCAGTAAAGATAAGTAATTAAAGGTTATATTGTGACTGTTTGTTAATTTGAGAGATGTTTTAATTAATATAGGAAGTATTGAAATGTTGAGTAAGTTTTTAATAAGTTTAATAATGTAACAAAGTTTTTTGAGAGATAAATATAGTAGATACTGTAAAGTAAGTATTGATGGTTGTAGCTGTGTTTGCAAGAGACTTTGTTAGAAATTGTATAAGTAGCAGAGTAAATAATAGAGCATTGAATTTTATGCCAAATGGTTTTAATACTCTTATGAGTTTTATTGTTGGTAGAAGTTTTGTGTAATAGAAGTTGTTAAGATAGAGTATTTGCAAAGGATTTCTAGTTCTTTGTAGATATAGCTTTGTAGTTAAAAATACAGTGATTAATGCCAGTATGTTTATATAAGGGTTTGCTATAAGGATGTAGAAATGTTCAGATAAAGAAAAAAATTAGATGATCACTAGAGGTAGAAGTTTGACTATTATTAAAACTATAAGAAAAAAGGAATTGTCTATTGATTTGGTTATTTCAGATGTAGTCGATACAACTACTACTAGTATTGTTAAACTAGATAAAGTTTTTGTTGTTAAAATGAGCTCTAATATCATACATATTAGAATTATTAAGAAAGTTAATAAGTTTATATTTAGAAGAGGAGCTGTAGGTATTGTTCTGTATATTGAAATTATCAAGAATAATGAAATGAATATGAAGTTGAGAAGCTTGTTAAATTTAGTTAGTTACTTTATTTTGAGTTTGGTTGTGAATAGAAGTATCAATTGATAACAGGTATACTAAAATGATGTGAAGCTTGATATTACTTCAAAAAAAAATATCAAGTGCTATAGCATCTTTAAGATAAGTATGAACACTGTGAACATGAGGTTTAAGATGATTGCAAATCATAATAGCAGTGTCTTTCATAGAGGTAGAAGAGTTAGACCAGTAGTAAGTCAAGAAGTTATTGTTACAAAAAAAGAGATTAGATTTGTTAAAGATTTTTGTTTCTGTAATGCTTGCAATAGATATGTTATGATTAAGGCAGTACTTCTGCTATGCTTCTCTTTTAGTAGATTTATTAAAGCCTTTAACATTATGTGTAGCAATAGTTAGATTGAGATGATGCAAAGTTGAATTTAATAATAGTGAAGAAGAATTACAATTAAAGATTGAAGAATGGTTGTTAAAAAATAAATCAGATAAAATAGAAATAGGATTAAAGGAGTTAGATTTGAAAGGAAGATTATAGAATATAAAAAGAAGATATGGAGTAATAACAATATAATCTGGTAAAAGAGTATTATTAGGAAGATATATATAAGTTTTATTATAAGATGAATTAACAAAAAATGTAATACTAGATACTGTTTTGTTGTTGTTATATTTATAAATATATTAAATTAAAGTTTGAATAGTTTGACTATAGGAAAGAAGTGATAAATTGTAATAAAGAAGAAATTTGTTAAAACATATATAAAAATTATAAGGAATTAAAGATATTGTAAATGATTTTTCAAAATTGTCTTCTACAGGGTTAATCATCATATGTTCAGTTCTTATAGCTGTGTAAGGTATCATAGTTTGCCTTGTACATTGGGTCTAATCATTATTATTTTGGTCTTCCATATAAATAGACTTGTTCATTTGCCTACTTATCTTATTTTCTTTACTAACTACAATAGGTGTGTCTTTTAGTAAGATAATGGCTGTTTTAATATTGGTTGTAGAAGACAAAGAACTTAAAAAGAAGATTGTAAAAATAGCGAGTCTAAGATAAAAACAGATTGAAAGTCAAGATTAAATTTCTTAAATAAAAATTTTTTAGTTACTAGATAGGCAGTATCATTAAAATATTTTATTATTTGTAAGTAGATTGGCTTTTGGTTTTTAATAACATCAAAGTATGTAATAATTTGAGCAAGGAATTTATCATTGATAATGTTTTTTGTAAATAAGTTAATAGTCTTTTTCTTGAACAGAGACTGTATATTATAATTTTTAGCAGCAGTTTGATAATAAAGAGAAAGGTAGCAATAAAAGTAATAGTTATGATGTTTAAGATTAGTTTTTATTTTTGTTTTGTTTACAAACAAAGTTTTCAGCTTGGTCAACAAGTTTGTTTAAGGCTTTAGTAGGGATGAGTTAGTCAAGTAAAGCAGTATGTTCTTTATTTTTGTGAAATAAAGTAGAGTTAAGAGTTGGATAAATCTAAGTTTCATTATTCTGAGAAAGAAATAATAAGTAAGATTTAGTTAAATGTTATTAAATAGCTTGGTATTGTTATGGAATTTTTTGTTATCAAGATATTAACATTCTTTGTTGTTACAAGTAAAACAATAAAAGTTTACAACATGAGATGCTTCTTCATATCACTCCTGAAATAAGTTAGGTTTTTTTAAATGTATAAGTTTTAAGAAGATGTTTAGAGAGTTGGAAAATAAAATGCTGACAGAACTAAATTCTAAGAGAGATGCAGACTTTTTTTTTGTTAATATTAGAAGAAAATTGTTTATTATAAGAAAAGTAGTAGATATCAAACTAGGAGTTAAAGTGATCAAGAGAATTTTTTAGTAAAGAAATACAAAATCTTTTTAAAAAAAGAGTTTTGGATATACAGTACTGGTCACAAAAACTGGACTATTATATGATAGAACAGATTTTTAATATTACATCTAATAAAATTTTATAAATATAAAATATACTATATGTAAAATCTGATAGTACTAATTTAGGCTTATAAAATGTCTATATGTATATTAGATGATCATCCAACATCTAAGCTCCAAAAAAATAAAAATTCTTCTTAACAAATAATATAAAATCATTTTTTTACATGAATACTCTTTAGGACCAAAGCTTGGTCTGAATAAAATTACAGCCTATATTGGTTGTGATAAAACAACAGTTGATAGATGGCTGCATAAATATCATTAAACCAAAGACTTTAATAACAAAAAAAAGCCTAGTCCAAAACATGCCACAACTACCATCCAAGATCTTAAAATTGTAGAACTGGCAAAAAAAAAATTGATATAATTAGCTCTAAAATTCAAAACCAATTTGTTAAACAAGATGTAAATGTTAGTACAAGAACAATTAGACAATGCTTTGTTAAGGCTAAAGAATACTTTGCATCTGGTCTTTCAGAATTACTACTTACTGCAAAGCATCAAATCAAATACTTGGAATGGGCTGAAAAACATATAAATTTTAACTAGAATCATGTAATTTTTATAGATGAGAGTATCTTCTTATTATTTCAGTATAAACAAAGGGTGTGGCAGTTCAAAAAGCATTGAAAAGTGTTTCATATTATTAAGCATTCTTAAAAAGTACATATATGAGGCTGTTTTTCTTGTTGGGAGTTTGGTGAATTGGTTCTTTTTACCAAGAACCTTAATGCAAATTTTTTGTGTGAATTTATAAGAAAGGCTTTTGTCTTTTGCACAGAAGTTTTTTGGTAAAAGTAATAAGAAATGGATTTTTCAAGAAGATAATAACTCAAAACATCATTTAATAATTGCAAAAAAATAGAAGAAAGAAAATAAAATTAAGGTTCTTCACTGGTTATTGGCATCTTCAAATTAAAATTTAATAGAAAACCTGTAGTGACTTTTAAAAATAAAAATACAAAAAAAAAATTAGAACTGTAATAGGTTTGAAAAAAAAAATAAAAAAAAAATAAAAACAATTTTCTAATAAGCTTACAGCTTATTTAGTATCTAGTGTGTTAACTTAGATCTTAGATCTAATAAAATCAGATAGTAATTATACTATATATTAAAATTATAGTCTGTCTCTGTATTTTAAAAAAATAAAAAAATTTTTAATTGTTAAAATTTTTTTAAATGATTTAGAGAAGAGTCTGGTTCTTGTAACCAATACTATATTAAAAAAGAGTTTAATATTAAATCTAGCATTTCACTGAATAGTGAAGTATTTTTGTTTAAGATCAGTGGTTTGTATAAAAGATTCAATTTTAAATCTTTTAGGTCTAAGCTGAAGGTCTTTAGCAAATTTTTGATAATCAATAAACTGATAGTTATTGGATAAGAAAAGATGAAAATAAGCAAGATTGAGACAGAGTTAGAAGAGATTGTAAGCTGTATATAGAGAAATAGTAACTAATGAAGCAAAGATTTCGAGATAGTTAAGTTTGGTAAAGAGGATAGTTGTAAATTTAAGAATAAAGGTTTTAAAAATAAATTCAAGAAGGTTGAAAAGAATAGTAGCACTTTTGTTAATATTAGAATTGCTGTTATAGATAAGGTTAGTTAAAAATTTAGGCCATTGCCTAGTTATGATATGGATAATATAGTAGAATAAGACTTTTAGTATAAGTTGAATAGCAGTAGCTGGCTTAATTTCTTTGTCAAAATAAAAATTATAAAAGAATTTTTTAAGGAATATAAAGAGTTGGAGAAAAAATAAAGTTTACAATTTTTTGTTAGGTTGTATTTCTTTAGTAATTGAAAATTTATAACCTAATTATATATAGGATTGGATTTTGATTTGAGAATACTAGAATAAGATTGAAGGAGAGGTTTGTTAAAAGTATTTTTCAGTTGGTTAGTATTGCTAAAATTGTTAAGATTTAGGTTAGAAATATTAAAATTGTTAGTAATAAGAGGTTGATTAGAGATAAGATTAGTATTAGTAGTTGAAAAAAAGAAAAAATTGATAAGAGCAGAAAAAATTAAGGTTTGGTAAAAAGAGATAATAAGAGGATTAGTAGTTTAAAAAGTTTCATATAAGATGTTCTGAAAAGTTTGAATAGGATTTTTTTTGGTTTGAAATGAATTAGTTTTATATTAAGATAAAACATTTATATAAGTGAGATAATAAACTTCATTATTTTTAGAGATATATTTTTTAGTAAAGTAATGATGTTCATTTCTTTTAGTACAACAAATTAGAAGAAAGCATTTAGAACAAATATGGTAATATATATCTGATATAAGAGATAGAAAAATACTATTAATAGAGAAAGAGAGATTAATTATGAGTTGTTAAGTTGTTCTGTTGATTTTTTTTAAGTTGCTATTAATATGTGCAGTTGTGAATTCAGTAGCTTGGATGTAATTGGTATTTGAGATTAAGATAAATTTAGTATAGTATTTGTCACAGAGACAAGTAATAATAAAAATAGAAGTAAAAACTTAAAAGAAATGAATAATCTTGTTTGATTTGAGATTTTTTGTTAAATAAATAGTAGGTTAAACTTTGAGAAAAATTGTTTAAATCTTGTTATTATTTTCTTTTTTATAAAGAGTAATACCAAAACTATTGAAAAAATTTTACTAGAAATAATCAATGTTTACTGTGTCAGATTCTTGTTGACTTAAGGTAGACATTATTAAATAGTAACAAATTGAGTAAAAATTTGATTAAAAACTTAGAAATTTTTTTAAATTAATAATATGATTATAAATAATTTTACAAGAATGCTAATTAAAGATAAGGGTTATAGTGTTAGGATATTACTAGAATAGTATACAGATACTAAACACAAATAAAGTTTGAAGTAAATATAAAAATAGAGAATTTTGTTTAATAAGATTCTATTAATAGATAAGTTACAAAATTTTAGTATAAATTAATAAATTATAGATTAGAAAATGATCAAATAGTTATATGAAATCCATGTAAGAGAAAAAGAAAATAGTATAAGGACAAAAGATAAGAAAAAAAAATTTGTAAAAGAGTAAAAGATGAATTTAACTATAGTTTGACCAATATTAGGTTAAAATTTTTTGTTTAGAGCTTATTTTAATCAAGCAAATATGTACTATAACTTTAATTAAGAATATAAAATAAGTTGTGATAACAAAAACTGCAAGAAGGTTAAATTATTAAAACTGAAGATCAAAAGCCGTTAGTACAGTTTTCTCAATGAGTTTAAACTCTAGGAATATAATATTTTCAAAATATATATAAAATGCAATGCTGAACAAGTTTATTTAAGATGTTAGAACAGATTGTCTTAGTAAAATAAATAGTTATAAGTGTTTTTTAAATGAATATTTTTTTAGTTAATTTTTGTGTAATAAATTTGCAAAAAGAGTTGTACTTTTTATCAAGAATATTTAATATATATAAAATTTATAAAAAAAGATAGACTAAAATAAAAAATTTAATTATTAATTTGACTTAAATAATGCTTTTAAAAGAAACCTATAAGAAGACAAGCAAATTAGAATTAATAAAAATTTTGTAAGAAGTTTTAATAAAAAAAAAATAAAATATAAATTCAAAACTATTAAGAGACTAATTAAGAAAAGGTTAAAATATTATTATAACTCTATCTAAACTTTTAAAAAGTTAAAGAGTTTATAACTATTTAAACAAATATAATATAGAATAACTTTTTTGAAAATATATAGAAAAAACATTATAAAATAATAACTAACTAAAAAAAGACAAATGAAATTAGTTTTACAAATAAAAATAAAATGAAAACATATTAAGAAATAAAAGAACCAACAAACATTTAAGAAAAAATATATATATAAAATATAAACAAAACTAAGCTACAAAGAAGAAAAAAGAAGAGAATAAAAAAAAAATTCAAGAATTATAATTAGATTCAATTATTGATTTTATAAGGAAAAAAATAAGATCATTTTTTTTACAACTCTACTTACTAGCTTGGTATAACTCTTTGATTAAAAAATTAATTTCTGATCAGTGCTCTGAACACTTATAAAAGCAATCAAAAGATGTTGAATCAGAATTTAAACCAACTTTATATATAATATGCATACAAGAATCTTAATAAAAGTGATTGTCAAAACTACCAAAGATAAAAAATAAAAATAAAAAATAAATAAATCAATCTAAATTGTATTATTGTATATAGATATTTGATTTTGTTTAAAAGGTAAATTATATAAAAATAACAAATTTAATAATAAACAATATCAAAAATTAATATAGCTTTTCTATAAAACTAGAATGCAGTTAGCTTACAATGAAATGTTTTTTATGCCAAATAAAACTTACTTAAGTTTCTAGCAAAGATTATAAAACAAGTCATTCCGGTTCTAATAGTGGTAAAATTATTCAAATTGGTTTTGTAGATTGGCATTTTCTCCTTTATAACAATATGATTTTTACATCAAGCCAGAAACTTTTGGTGTTCCAACATTATATGAAAGTAATAGTAATCCTCCGCCGATTTTTACTATGAAATTTATACCCTTCAACTGCGATCTACCACTCAAGTGTTATCAAATTTCGTACCAATCTCCAAGAGCATGAATGAAACGATTTACTTTCTATTAAAGAATAGGTTTAATAGTCAAAACCTATAATTTTTTGTGAAAACCCAAAATTTTGAGGGATACTACATTTAATGCAATTCCAATTTGTTCATTCAATTGGGTTCGATGTTGCTAAACCCGGGCAAGTTTTTAAGATGGTAAATCCTTAAGGAGTGTTAGATGTGATCACAATCATCATGCATATCATCCTTTTTTTTTTGTATTAAATTCCTGTGGTACATCATTTAAAAGTTTAACAACAATTTTAAACTTTAAGCCAAAAAAATCAAACTTTTATTTCCAAGATACACATTAGTTATACGCATAATGTTACGTATATGTATGTACTAATCATGTTAATTAAAAGTTGTAACATGCTATCAAAAACCAAGCCCAATAATACTTATCAAAAAATTATTTTTAAACAAAACAATTATATGCATCATATAATGTTAAACATTAAGAGTTGAAATCTTTCAGTACGTACGTATAAAATGTTTCCATGTCTATGGTAACGGGTAAGTAGATTTAAACAGCCAATAATACCATTTTATTTTGGTCATACTTAGCCAATAGTAAATTGCATATTTACAGCCAATAAAATAGAACTTTGGTCTCTTACCTTTTTTTCGAAATGACATATACTTGATCTAAAACTAAAGTTGCTTTACATTCGTTAAAATGACTATAACGGAAACGGTGGTGGAATCAACTCAAACAATAAAGACAATAAAGGAACTTTATGCAATCACTGTATTCACTTTTTCTACCTTGTTTCGATGGTTTTTTATACTTGTTTCCTATATTACTGTCACACTTTATACTTGGATCATACAGATTTTATCCTTATCCTTTACTCTTCAACTTAGTTTTACTACCTTACTAGTGTTCTTTGGATTAACTACAATAATAGGGTATCTAGTCATTCGGTATCGAATCCTTACTAGATACTCACGTCTTCCCGCAGAAACTCCCCAGAATCAAGATACTTTTCACCACCTGCGACCCGAGGTCTTTGATAACAATGAAAAATCACAATTTCTTTACCCAGACGAATTTTTAAGCGCTTTTTTAGAGGGCATAAAAGTTTTTGGTTACCTGGAAAAACCTGTATTTCATGAACTTTCAAGACATTTACAAACAAAGAGGTTATTAAGTGGTGATACTTTAATGTTAGAGAAAGAAAGATCGTTCTACATTGTAATAGATGGTCATGTTCAGGTTTTTGTCAAAACTGCAAATGAAGAAGATATTGTGTTAGACCCTTTTGAAGATGATGATTACAATCGTGGTTGTCAGCTTTTAAATGAAGTTACAAACGGTGGAACATTGTCAAGTCTGTTTACTATTCTTTCTTTATTTACTGATGACATTGAACTTCGTTACAATGATAATGTGGTGGATCCTTCAATTGTTGGAGAACATGCTGAAAAACAGGAAAATGAGTCTGTTCAAGATGAATCAAATCATGATACTCCTAAAGATCAACCTCTTCCCGGAACATCAATGCATGCTGATAATACTTTCTCACGTTCAAATAAATCTACAAAGCCTCAGATTTTAAGACGCCTTTCAAAAGATGGTCCAACAACTACTTCTGTTCACCCAAATATCATAGCCAGGGCAACTGTGGATACTACCTTAGCTGTTATTCCGGCTGAAGCTTTCCACAGATTAACGGAAAAATTTCCAAATTCTGTTGCCCATATCGTTCAAGTAATTCTAATACGTTTTCAACGTGTTACTTTCTGGACTGGATATAAATATTTGGGCTTAACAAAAGATATTTTGAGAACTGAAAAATTAATGAATGACATCACCACTCATGGCCTTCCTGTCGATTTTTTTAGACCGGGAAGTATGGAACGACTTCGCTTGAAGTATGTTGGCAGTGGCAAAAAGTATAAAGATATGGACATGAGTGATAATGAATTTTTAGTTAATAAAAATAAAAAAACTAGACAATCTACTCGCCTTAGACAAAATGTTGTATATGAAAGTGAAGTTGAATCCAGTGCTGATCCTATAGTAACAAAATCTAAAGACACTAATAGATCTTATGCTAATAGTAAATACTTGACAACTCCAGCGAGTGCTCGTGTTCAACCTATCAGTGGAACTCCAGTGAGTGGCCGTGATTATGACGCTGAAGATGATATGCATCTTCGAGAATCCGTTTTAGAAGGTATTTCGAAAGGACTCGGTCTGTTACAACCCAACCGCAAAGATAAAAACTCTTCATTAGAACATGGGCCTCGTCCTAATTCATCGGAGTCAAATTTACATTCCTTTCATTTTTTGAACCACTCCGCAACTGCATTGCTGGATATTCCTGATGATGAATCAGTTGCAGAAACTATATCATCTTTTACCAGTGAACTAGATAATGATGTTGATATATTATTTTATCCTAAAGGATCGGTTCTAGTTGCTGAAGGAGAACGAAATGTTGGTCTATTTTTTGTTATTGATGGACTTTTAGATGTTTCTGTTGCTTCTAATGATAAGAATTTCCTTGGAAGTTCTTTTCAAACTACCGCTTCTGAAATCCCAGCTCCAAATTCATCCATGAAATCTACGTATAAAAAAAAGGAAACAATTACAACTAATTCATCAAATAAGTCCAGAGACAAGAGTCTATTTATGGTTAAACCAGGTGGTCTTGCCGGATATCTTGCAGCTTTAACTGGATTTCCATCTTTTGTTAACATCCGTGCTAGCACCGATACTTATATAGGATATTTATCAAAAAATTCATTGAATCGCCTTACGGAACGGAATCCAAACGTACTTTTGACTTTAGCTAAGCGATTAATAAGGCTGTTATCACCCCTAGGTTAGAATAATAAACATATTATTAATTCGAATTTTATTTATTTATTTATTCAATCATGTACTCAAAATTAATTTATATTTCCACCAATAGTCCTTCAAATCGATTTTGCTCTTGATTGGGTTCAAGTCAACGCCGGACAAGTTTTATATTCTGAAGGGGATCCAAGCGATTCAATATACATTGTTTTAAATGGTCGTGTACGTGCCATAAATGAAAGAAAAAATCGTATCATCGACATTGTAGGAGAATATGGCCAGGGTCAAAGCGTCGGAGAACTCGAAGTTATGAGTATGTATTTAATTTCAGAAAATTATTTTAAACTGTTTACTAATTTTATTAACTTTATAGCGGGAGCCCCTCGTCCACACACATTACATGCTATTCGTGACACTGAACTTGCTCGAATGCCCAGAACTTTATTCAATGCACTTGCTATTCGTCATCCTGAAATTACTTTACAGATCTCTCGTATTATTGCGTCAAGAACACGGTTGCAACAAGATCGGGATTTCAATCATAAAAATACTGGCACTGAGCTTGGTAAAAACAATACTAATCTTAAAACTGTTTGTATATTACCTGTGAATGAAAACGTTCCCGTGACCGAGTTTGCAGAGAAATTGAAATACGCTTTAGAAAGGTCTGGTGAAATAACTACATTATTAAATCATGCTTCTGTAGTACCAGTAATGGGAAAGCATGTGTTTACACAAATGGGAAGGTTGAAGCTTATTAGTTGGCTTGCTGAACAAGAAGAAAAATCACGAATTGTGTTATATTTGGCCGATGGAGGGCTTAATGCTTCGTGGACTCAAACTTGTATTCGTCAGGTATTTGTTCTGTATCATACCTTTAATTTAAATAACCATATTCAAATTAATTGACTTGGGTAATGAAATTGCGATAGGCCGATTGTATTCTTTTGGTTGGTTTAGGAGATGAAGAAGCAACCATAGGTGAATATGAGAGTCTCCTGATTGGTACAAAGACTACAGCTCGTAAGGAACTCGTATTGCTACATGCTGAAAAACATTGTGCGCCCGGAACGACTCGTCAATGGTTGAAGGTGATTTATTAAATGATTTTTATTAATGTTACATATATAGCATACGTTTACGAATTTTTAATTGTCTCTAAATCAGAATCGTTCGTGGATTCATGCATATCATCATATTCAAATGGCTATGTTAAAACCAACAATGTTGTCTGGGCGACCACGAAAAAATGCGTTAATGAATATTCAAGCTCGATTACGAAGGTATTATTCTACAATAATGGAAAGGTCTCCCACGACACAAAATGGAAGTCGCAATGATTTTTCAAGGTGAGTTAATTTCTTGATCCGCGTTTAGTTCAATAATAATAATGGTGAGGTCAATTATTAGGCTTGCACGACGTCTTTGTGGAAAAACAGTTGGTCTGGTTTTAGGAGGGGGAGGAGCTAGAGGCATAGCACATGTAGGTGTTATTAAGGCTCTGGAAGAAGCTGGCGTTCCGATAGACATGGTTGGAGGTACTAGCATCGGTTCCTTTATTGGTGGACTTTATGCACGTGAATCAGACAATGTGGCGATCCTTGGACGAGCTAAAGCATTTTCGTCACGAATGTGTAGTAAATGGCGACAGGTTTTTGATTTGACATATCCATTAACTGCGTGGTTTACAGGTAAATATTTTAATTATATGCTTTTTTATTTAATACACATAAGGATAATAAACATTAATTTACCCTATTCAGGTCATCAATTTAATAGAGGTATCTGGAAAAGCTTTTCAGATACACTTATCGAAGATTTTTGGTTATCGTACTTTTGCGTTACCACAAACATCACGTGGTCACGTATGGAGGTTCATAAAAGTGGCTATGCGTGGCGATATGTTAGAGCATCAATGTCATTGTCATCATTCTTACCCCCCCTTTGTGATAATGGGAACTTATTAGTGGATGGTGGTTATCTGGATAATTTACCGGTAAGATTTGTATTATTTAGATGATGCTAAAGGAAACTCTGTAAATCCAAATTTCAATTTCATTTGTACCGAACTTCTGAAAAATTGTGATATTATGTAATTTAATCAATGTCCGTTCAACATACTATTGAAATGATTAGAACATTTGATTATCACCCTTTTCTGAATTTAAACTTGGTACTGTGAATATTTAAATTCGTATTTACAGCTCTTCTTTGGTAGCACTTATTTGTTTCATGGGAAATTTAAAATAACGACATAGGGGTCCCAATTATAATATTGGCACTAATGGCCGTCTGGACCATATGGGGTCTTTGCCTTGAAAATCAAGTTTGGATCATATGATTTACTATGTCCCATAAGGTCATTTTCAAGGCAAAGACCCCATATGATTATTGGAAATCCACTGTCGTTATTTCTAATCTTTTATGAAATACATAATACTAATACATATGTACATTTCATTACAAGCTATAGTAATTAATATCTTTTATATTTACAGGTTAGTGTAATGAAAAGTATGGGTGCCAATTCAATAATTGCAGTTGATGTAGCAAGCCATGAAGACACGTCTCCAGTATATTATGGGGATTCACTCTCAGGATGGTGGGTAATACTTAATAGATTTAACCCATTTAACCGACAAGCAAAGATACCTACTATGGCAGATATACAATCAAGATTAGCATATGTATCAAGTGTTAAAACATTGGAAGAAGCTAAATTAATACCCGGATGTCTTTATATGCAATTACCAGTACAACAATATGGCACATTAGAATTTAATAAATTTGATGAAATATTTGAAGTAGGATACAAAGCAGGAAAAGAAATATTGAAAAAATGGAAAGAAGAAGGGAAGTTACGGGATTTATTAGGTCAAGGACACGAGGAGCATAGAGGCTATAGGATAAGTAGAAGAAATAGTGTATAATACAGTTTAGATAAGTGTATACTACAGTTTAGATAGGTGTATAATACAATTTAGATAGTTTAAAGAACTAAAAAATAATTTAGCATTCATATTTAAGTTATTTTAAATTTTTATATGGAAGTTTAAAATTAAATAATATTATATCTTCGATTATATATTTGTTACCCGATTTAGAAAAAATTTATAAAATTACTATAAACTTTTGTTATGCTGATTTTTTTTTAACCTATATAATAATTTAAAATTAAATTTTGAAAAAAAGATTTGCATACATTCTTTTCTGAACACAGGAGTTTTGAAGTAACCTTTTTGTTAAAAATAAAAGCAAACAAGACAAAATTGGTTAAAACATTTATTAAAACAAGGGTTCTTGTCTTTGTTTCAAAAAAAAGGTCTTTTACAAAATCTCAATATATAAACAGTACAAAAACAACAAAAAAAATAGCATCATTAAATAGTAGAAAAAAATTAAAAAAAAAACAAAAAAAATATATCAAGTTTTTTAAGTTTAGTGATTAACAAAAAAGAGATTATTAAATATAAACAAAAAGAAAAGCAAATATTAAAAAAAGTTTCTAATAAAAATTTAACAAGTTATGATAAATAAGTAGAATTATAAATAAAGAAAATGAAAGTTTTTTAAGATCAAAAAATAAACAAAATTAACATGTTCAAAAATATTATAAACATAATAACAAACAACATGTTTGAAAACAGGTAATATTAAATAACATAATTAAAATTAAAAATACAACAATTCAGAAATTAAATGAAATAACAAATATATAAAGCAATAGTTTATTAAATAAGATATTAAACTAATCCTTATAATGACTTACAAAAAGATAATAATAAACAAAAAAGTTCAAAAGAAATACTAACTAAATAATGATTTAGTTTATTTTCAAAATTAAGAAAAGATAGTTTACCTATTTCTTCATATTTAGAAACTAAATCAAATCAAAAAATTAAAATATTCTAATGATAGATGTTTAGAGCATATATAGTTCTTTTAATAAAATCATGACCTTATTATTTAAGAACTTTAAAAAAAACATAATAACAGCAAAACAACACTTTATAAAAAGAATAAATATATATTTAGAAATTGTATTTGAAAACAAAGACAAATTAAAATATTATGCTCTTAAAAAAATTAATATTTTTAACAGAATCTATTTTAGCTTTATTTTTACAGATTTAAAAAAATTATTTCTCTTAGTTAAAATTAGAAATATTCTACTGAATAACAAAGAAGCAATATTAGATACTATAAAAAAAGCTTTTAAGTTTGTTGATAGAATTGTATCAATTAAGTTTTTACTAATTAAAGAACTATTATATTTTATAAATCAGTAAATTATAATCTTTAAATACTTAGATATTCTAATTTAAAAAACAAAATTTCTTATTTTATATATATATTAAACAAAATAAAAATCAGTACTTAAAATATACTACTTTTGTAAAAAAGAAAACTATATTAAAAAAAAATACTAACTATTTCAGGATCTAGTAAAATTATAGATTAAGTATCAAAAATACAAAAAAGATAAATACAATAAAAAATTTTTAAATAACTTTTAAGAATTAAATAAAACTCTAAAAAATATTAAACAAAATAATAAAGAATTTTTACTACTAAAAAATCCTAAACAACTAAAATTAAATAATACAAAAGATTATATATATATATAATTTTAGAAGAAACTAATTTTAGTCATTAACAAAACCTTCAGTTTTCAGTTCTAATAAAATTAGCTGCAACTAACAACAACTCAGATAAACAAATACAAATATTAACTTAAGAAAATCTTTTACTTAATATAAAAATGTTGCCAAGAAATAAACTTGTCATTTATGACTATCAAACATCATACTTATCTGCAAGTCACATTTTTAATTTAGCTTCTTTTTTTGACAAAAATGAAAAACTGATAGCTTTATTATAGTTACTAACAAAAAAACTAAAAAAGAAAACAGAATATCTAAAAAGGATAATAAAAGTTTTTTTTAATAAGAAAACTTGTAAAAAAGAAAGTCATTCACAAATTTAAAAGATCCAATAACTTTATATAATTTATATTTCAAAAAACTAAATTAAAAATAGCAACACTAAATATAAAAGAATTTAACAACAAAGACAAACAACAAAATTTATCTATTTTTCTAAAATCATACAAATTATACATAATAATGTTTTAAAAAACTAATCTTAATAACAAAACAACACAAAAATTTCATAAATAACAATAAATTTACAACTTAATTTAAACTAAAAAGATAACAATCTTAGCAAAAAGCAAGAATATTAAATTAAAAACACTTAGATAAGCTATAAAAAAAAAATAATAACAACAAACTTTGTATTTAAAAAATATATATATATATATATATATATATATTTTTTTAAGGTGACCTCTTTGGTTTTTTGACTTTTATTAATCATTTATTGGTATTGTGATTCAATGAACCATTACAGAAGAGTGTACAATTAGCTACATGTATAACTTTTCTATATTACCTATTTAAGAAGTTCGTCTAAAGTTCTTTATAAATTGCTATACCTAACATCTCTGCTTGGATGTTCTAATTTAAACCTTCTGAATCTGTAACTTGTATTAATTTACTAGGTCATACTTAGATATTCAGATCATTGTCTCAATCTTAGGACTAATTTATTCTCAAAATAAATCCTCCAGAGCCTTTTGTATCTATTTTTACAGTTGATCTAGGTATTACTATAGCAGAACCAATACTTGTGATCAGGGCTTAACCATTAAACTGCTATGTCTTTATAGAATTCACTTAGACCCTAGCATCTACTTCACAATATAACTCTAATACTTTAGTATACTTTTGCCTTTTCATCTGCCTTTTTACCAAATTTCCAATTCAGATAGCTCATATAGAACTACAACCAGTTCATCAGTATATCAAGTCAGCTTGATATCTTTTTTCTTTAGTTTATTCTGGCATCCTGGTTGATGATATTTCCAAGACTTCTAACACAAAGGTCTTGCCAATCTGGCTACTATAACTGGATACTACAACCTTAGTATCTGTTTCCCCAAGCTAGCCTTTACAGTAGAGCTATCAAAGATTCAGCTACTTCTCTACTTAGGTCTTCTTAAATAGACTTCTTGTTACCTAATTTTAATAAATTTACACAACTACAAGAACTTATCTAGTGTTTGTACTATCTAATTTGTCAGTTTGTATTCTTCTATATAATGCTATACTTATACAGATGCCTTATGATCTGCTAATCATGCTAGTGCAACTGCTATTACAGGTATTCTAACTCAATCATTAGTAATAGTTGCTGTAATACAAATATTACATAGGTGATTATTCAAATTTTCACTATCAATGGAATTTGAACATCCAATCTACCACTTGGGAGGTTAATAACCTGACCACTTCACTAGGTTGCCACATCTCAAAAAGATACTTTTTCAAAATAATAAATATTTATATATTACTAAATATTAATAATAAAATAATCTGTCTTAATAATTTAAAACCTCAAATTAAAGAAAACAATATAGGGGTGTAGTGACCTAGTGAAGTAGTCAGGTTGTCAATTCTTCAAGTGATAGGTTAAGTGTTCAAATCTTATCGATGATGAAAATTTGGATAATCACCTATATAATATTCATATTTTAGTAACTGTTATTAATGATTAAATTAGAATATCTGTAATGGTAGTCATACTAGCATGACTGGCAGGTTATAAAGCATTCATGTAAATCACATAACATTGTCCTTTGGAACAAGGTCTGTGGTTATACAAAGAAATGAAAACCAGCAATTTGATAGTACAAACACTAGATAAGTTCTTGTAGTCATATAAATCTGTTGAAATTGGGTAACAAGAAGTCTATTTGGAAAAACCTAAATAGAGAGATAGCTGAATTTTTGATGATGCTACTGTAAAGACTAGCTTGAGAAAACAGATACCCAGGTCTTAATAACTAGACAGACAAGAACTTCTAAGTTAAAAGTCTCAGAGATATCACCAACCAGACTACTGGAATGAACCAGAGAAAAAGAATATTGGGCTGACTAAATATACTGATGAACTGATCATAGTCCTATATGAATCATCTAAATTAGAAGTCTAATAAAATTCAGAGATATACTAAAATACTGGGGTTATGCTATAAAATAGATACTAGGATCTAAGTAAACTCTACAAAAGCATAGCAGTTTAATGATTAAGTTCTAATCACAAATGTTGGTTCTGCTATAGCAATACCTAGATTAGCTATAAAAATATATACAAAAGGCTCTGAAGGTTTATCTTAAAGATAAATTAGTTCTAAGATTAAGACAATAATCTGAGTATCTGGGTATAACTCAGTGAATTAACACAGGTTACAGATTTAGAAAGTTTAAAGTAGAACATCCAAGCAGAAGTATTAGGTATAGCAATTGGTGAAAAATCTTTAGGCAGATTTCTTAAATAGGTAATATAGAAAAGTTACATGTGTAGCCAATTGTATGCTCTTCTATAATAGTTTATTGAACTATAATACCAATAAGTAATTAATAAAAGTCAAAAGGCTAAAGAGATTACCTTAATAAAAAAAAAAAAAACAATATAAACATTATAGCAAAAGACTTTAATATTAATTTTAATACTAAAAATAATAGGATTTGTTAGGTAATAGCTTAATATAACTTGACTAGAACCTAGCTCTTTAATTTAACAAAAAAATTTATTAATATAGTAAAGATAACAAATACTAAGTTTTTTTTTAATTTTTTTAAAAAACACAAATTAACTATTTAATAGTTATATATTTAAACTACATCTTTATAAACAAGAATTATAATCATCTTATATTAAAAGTTAGTATATATTATGGTAACTCAGACTATTTTCTAGTAAAATACATACTTAAATTTAAGTAAAATTCTAAATAGTCTTTAGACTAAAGATTCAATAAAAAATTTTTTAAAAACAAGCTTTAAAAAAAAAAGTTTTAGAAAAA